CCCTAGTTTACGCGATCAGAGCATGGTATGGCTACTTCTTGGAATAGCACACCAAGACTTCCAGAGGTCGTAGCTCGATAACTAACCAACCAATCTGGTTCAAGTAAGTCTTATCTTGTAGAACGGAGCTGCTTCTATGTTATCCAGCAAAAGCCCCGCGGGCGCATGCCTCGTATCTCCGCGGAACAGGCTGCATAGATGCCTTATTGTTTCGTGGGATAATATGATATCATTACGATAACTACAGCGGGGCCCGGAGTCGAACACGTGACCTTATGCATTTAGTCACGTGCCGTTGTAACGGGGGCTCCCTCAGGAAGATGGATTCCAAGGATGCGACCGCACCAAACTTCAAATCTCTCAAACAAAAGCTCTTGCAAAATTGTAAAGAATAAAAGTAATGGTAAAACTTAATATCGTTAAGCTCAGGCTTATCTCAATTAAAGTCTCTTGAGAGGATGTTGATTTTGTCGGGGTAGGAGAGTTCTTGTATAATCTTTTAAGTAGTCAGACTTATACCAAAAACTCCCCCATCAGGTTACCCTGACCAACACAAGTGTGCCCTTCTTCGTAAGGGTTGCGCCAGCACCATTACCATATCCCTGAAGGGCTAAAGGTGTCAACACACTCTAGCAGAATTCTCCCATATGCGCATCCGTCCTGCAAGGTATTTACCAATACACCTGCCGAAGTGAAAACCTCTGCGCATCGGTGTCTCATCAGTGGCTAACTGTCGAGTCACCTGGGAAAGCTAACTAAATGACTCTCTACCCATGAGCAATGATCTATGCAAACACCTGTAGACATCATGTGTCCTCCGGTTAAGTTCTATCTATCTAGATTGCGAACTTACAGGGTCTACGACGTCCCCGCGGAGAGCTGTGACGGCGGCGGGACCCATGAGTGCTACCCATGGTCCCTTACCCCCAGCACACCACTTACCGTGATAAGTATCATGCTATTAGACTCTTCCAACAACCCATAAAGAGTCTACGGCAAAGGGGTACGTGTAGGTATGATTGGCGTAAAACCCTCCTCGATGGCTCCGGCACTACCCGGGACTACTCGGGGGACCCTTCCGGATAGCTCATGCTAACTCCGTCAGTTATGGTCCATTTTACTCTGTTCTTTTTAGAGAAGGTACCTGACCTTCTCACCTTGACCCCCTTATATATCCTGCGAACAGCTTCCTGTCGGACGGACAGCAGCGACGTATACAGTGTTATGGACATGTCTTCATTGATTCCATTTAACTAGTAAGACGGCAACTCCATCCATTTTGGCCCATGATGCCCGGGGCGAACCCTGGGGCCGCAGGTACCTCTTAGGAATATTCCTGCCAAGTTATAGCATGTTCAGAGCACTATTACTCCTCCCGTAGCCTTCCGATCAACATACAACCAAGTGCTCGTTGATCGTCCTTGTGTGACAAACAATCCTATCATTTCCCGAAATTCGTCCGAGAACGTTTCCGACGGAAGGTCGGGTAATAGCGTCCCAAAGGTAGGGTAAGTATGTCCATGGTGACATGAAAACGGTCTCCATGGGAGGGTAACGTGACTCTCCTAGACAGGGTAAACTCACCCGGCCTTCCGTCCTATTCTTAGGCCGGAACGGACATAGTCACTTTATACTATCTATATTGGCACACCTATTCCTTAAGTACCTTCTGTTCTATGGAATACCCGGACCATCGGATATCCTTCGAACATGTCTAATGTCCTCGTAGTCTACCATTCAACCGCTTGGTCTTATGTATGGGCGTAGACTTAGGTCGCCATAGCTCTATTCCGTATGGTCGTTACAGCCGTACCGATTACACTGTCTAAGTATAACAACAGCATTGTTCACTCTCTCATCCTGCTAGTCTCCAGGGGAGCTCTACTGGGCTTGAACTAGCATCTGGTTTCCGGGGCAACAGGAATGCCCTCCTCCTTGCAGAAGTACTCTCTTTTAAAGGGCATGACCTAGTCTCTCCTCCTTCCGGACTGGGTGCTACAAGCTCCCCCCCCCCAATACTATCTCTACTCCCACCCCGAACCCCTGCATCCCTTTATGGGTCTCGATCATTTCTCGGTGGGGAGAATACACCAAATGAGAGCTGGAAAAAGCTACCTAGCTGCCCACACCTCCTGGAATGAGCCAGACAAGCCCGTTACCAGCTCCTCCTGCGACCTCAAGCCAGAGACTATGGAGTACGCTATCCTCTCCTGCTCCTCCAACTCCGCTGCTAGGCTGCTCCATATCCCAGGAGTGGCCAAGCTGGGCTGGGACCCTCCCCTCTGGGCCAGTAAGGACCTTCTTTGGGGCCTGGTATGATACATTTCCGATACAAGAACCAATTTTCCCCCCTCTATAGGGGGTTACCGGGCCTTGCCCAGTGGCTCACCTGACTCAGACTGAAGTGGTGGTTTTCAGTTAGCTTTTCAGACTTTACTTTCCTTGCTTAATGCCTCTTCCAGGCGAGTAGTGGCTTTTCATTTCTTTCATGATTGGTCACCATAGTAGGTGCAATAGATTGAATTACTCACAGGTAGGGATTTTGGCTGGCAGTATTTCATTATTGTGTATTGTTGTTGACATTAAGGTTTTGTTTTTGCTATAGCTAGCATTCCATGCAGGTTCTTGTACCTTAGTAAAGAATATATGAGTTAAACAAAAAAAAATCACTAGTTTTAAATCATTATTAGCGACTGGAGAAGAGATCTTATCAATATATTTGTTCTACTTTACTTCTATCTTTACAAGCCTTCTTTACTATCTCCAAGACAGAAGACCATCGGGCCTAGTATATACTCGCTTCACTTTAAAGTTACCTACCTCCTAACAGTGTCTGTGCTTGCTTGCTATTATTGGTTGCTTTGCAAAATCCCATACAAATTGGCTGTCTTGGCATGAATTTTGGCATTGCCTTCTTTAAAAATTGATTCGGCCCCTTCTAGGACACGTTCCTACGGTATTGTAATCCCGGCATAAGCCTTTCAGAATTCAAAACCATTCCTATAGTCTGACATTTAACTATACGAATCTTTGGATTAAGCTCTCTATCAATAAACTTTTTATGGGGTTGATAGGCATGTACTAAAAGTGGTAGCTTGTATAGAAAACCGGGGGGGCACATTTCTTCTGTTGCCAAGCTCATGGAGTGCCCTTAACACCAAATAATGGGCGATTTGGTAGCTGCTGTAACGTGCTGGACGACAATGATGCGCCGGGTGCTGGGCAGCAACGATGCGCCAGGTATGGTGCGCAGCCCTTGGAAGAACTTGTTGTTTGCTCGGGAGGATCAAAAAAAGGATCCCAATGCACCCCAAAGCAGCATCCAAGGCACCGCTTTCGGACCCTCATCGTAAAAGATCACTCATATTTCCTAATTTAGCAAGTTTCCAGACGAAAACCCCTCTTGTCTTGGAGGTGCTCCCAACTTTTTTTTAAAACACTTTTTCTATTTCACACTTGGAAAACTAAACTATAGTATTTACGCTATCCCTTCCCCTCTATAAGGTGCCCCTGTCTTATGGCTATCTCCAAGTACCTACTAGATTACATCATAAAGGAAGCAGCCGGGATACTTGGCCTTGATCTGCTGCTCAACCCACCAGTAGGGGGTGATGTAGGTGATGTCAGTCCCATCGGTAGGGCCTGCACCGCCGGTGAGGATTCCAACAATACGACCATCCCTCGCAAGGACAATGGACCCAGAGTCGCCAGCAGCAGAAAACTTTCCTCGCGTCGTGTCATAGGTCAAGACAGCAATCTCGATGGAGGTCTTCTCAATACCCTCCGAGAACGTTTCCGACGGAAGGTAGGGTAATAGCGTCCCAAAGGTAGGGTAAGTGTGTCCATGGTGACATGAAAATGGTCAGTGTAGGTGCGGGTGAAGGACTCAAGACCGTTGGCGCGACCGACGGTGGTCCCTGTAGTCAACCCATTCTTCACTACCAGCAGACACTTCTCACGATGGACATCGAGGTGCTGGGGGTTACGGATCTCGTCATCCAGAACAACACCGTAGGCCTGGAGAAGACCATCTGCGGGGTATTGGTAGTCTGCTTGATCAACGACCTGAGGGAACATTGTGTTGCAAAAGCCAGTGGGTGTGAGGTTACCGCCTGTGGAGGAAAGAAAAGTAATAGTCAGTTAGAACTGAATACAAGAAGGCGGGGGGTGGGAAAGACAATGAGAGATGAAAAAGACAAGATGGAGGCGAGAGGGAGATAAAGATATGGCAAAAGACGTACCAATGTATACCTTGTTTCCATTAAACGTAGACCAATCAATCTTCTCGTTGTATAGCTCAATCAGTGCCCAGTCTTTGGTAAAACCATGGGGTGCGGCCGAGACTTCGACCTTCTCAGAGTGAAGCAAGAAGCCAATAACGCGTTGGTCAGGTGTGGTACGGCGCTTGGTAACCTCGTCATGGAGTGCATTCACCTCCTTGATCTCCTGTGTCGCTTTCTCTACCAACTCCATGTACTCCTTGCGCCTCTGGGTGACCTTCTTGTTCTCTGCCTCGATGGGTTCCCCCAGCCTGCCAAGGACTTTGTTTGAGATTTCGATCGAGTGGAGGTGGTTGCCGATGGTTCCCATCATAGCCTTGATAGCGTTGTTATAGCCCATGTTACCGAGCGCGATGAACTCCTCACGAGGCTGGCTTGTGTTCCTACGTATCATGCCCATGTTGGCGTGGATAGGAGGGGGACGGGCAACATGGGCGCAGGTCAGGATGGCTGTGCGCTTGTCATCTTTGCTAAGGCGGAAGTAGAGAGCGGCGGTGCCCTCAAAGTAGGGGTACTTGAGGGGTGCAATGGAGAGACCAAGAGCGGTGGTAAAGGGCTTTCGCAGGTCAGGGACATCATCCAGGACGGGGTTGAATGAGAGAAGCTTGGGGCCAGCAGCAACTGAACGAGTCACTACTGACTCGACAAAGGCTACCTCGATGGATGGAAAGCCAACCCCAGCAAGGATCTCCTTGACAGCAGCAGCAGCGGCAACAGCGGCATCGTAGAGGAGGGAGTAGGGCTTCACACCGATGGAGAGGATGAGAGAGCAGAAGGGCTTGGCCTCCCCGGTATTAGCGTAGGCAAGAGGGTTGATGGATGTCCACTGTACACCAATGGAGTCGAGGTGAAGATAGATGCGCTCGCCAATAGTGAGCCAAGTGGGCCCAATGGCGTGACGGTAGACCGGGCGAGCCTCACGTTCAATGCCCTGAGCCTGAGGGCCTTTAGGGACATGCCAGTGAGGGCCGGACTTGAAGACACAGGGAGTGCCGCTTCCATAGAAGTCACTGTAGGCGTTGGGGTACTTGTCACTGAGGCGTGTTGTCTTAAAGATGACATTGTCCGTCGTCAACCTCTCGCCATTCTTCGCGAGTGAGGGCTCGCCGAAAGAGAAGGCAGTAGGGGGGAGGGGAGACTGGTTCCCAACATGCTTGGGGATGGCTAAGCAGGCGGCAACAAACTCCTGGTCGAGGTTGAGATGGTGAACCGGGAGGGATGACACTGTTGACAGGGGGGTGGGAAAAAAAAAAGAAACCTATAGTTAGTAAGGAGGAGAGATTAATAAAAGCGAAGGAGAATTACTGGTAGGAGGGCAGTCTTCCTTTGGTGGTGAGAAGCTGGGAGGTGGAGGCGGTGTTGTTGGTAGATGACGGGAACCCTGGAGAGGGGAGAAAAAAAAAGGCAAGGTCAGTATACTACTGTATGGTACAAGAAAATGCAAATGGACGCACTTTTTTAAAAAAGCGAGAAAGGCGCCTTTTTAAGGTAGAGGGGTTGGTAGACAGTGACGTCACTATCGATGAGAGAGTAGGAAAAAAAAGAAAACCCCATTAGTTAGTAACGAGGAGGGATAAATAAAAATAGAGGGGGCTTACTTGTACAAGGGGCAGGCAATAAAAAGTGGTACGGTGCCGGGGTGGGTGGAATGAGTTTGGACAAAACTATGGAACATTATGACAAATTAAGACATGGTGTGCATCTGACCTCTGTGAAGAAAAAATACCCTACAGTCTATGAAGAGCAACAGGCATCACGATGACAGAATAAAATCAACCAAGACACAAGTGTATAGAAAAAAAAGTAAAAGTAATAAATACAGAAAACAGGTTTTTAGCTAAATTAAAGCGATGAAAACGAGGATAAAAGTACCAGTGAATAAATTCAGAACAAGATAGGAAGGAAAACCAAATCATCAAAAACTCAACAGCCTGTTCGGATACGACGGTTCCATTCCATTTCCCCATATGAACGACCATTCCCTTCCATTCAGAAGGTGCTAAGACAACCCTTTCTCTAGTCAAAATCATCAGTGAGTAAAACAGTTGACCTACCTGCCGTTTCTACCAAACAGGGTATAAACTAGGGACTTTGCGATTTCACATCCAGGATCAAATTCTAGTGATCTCGTTGACCCAGAACCCTGTTTGACCCACATCCAGAGTCTTTTCGCAAAGTTCCTACCATTTACGAATCTCTAGCAACTCCCAGATGACCAAAAGTATTATTCGGGCCTTTGTGGCAACCATACCTCCTGCGGCAACTGATCCTCAGGGCTTCCATGGACTGCAGCCAGCTATCACGGATCCCAAGGACTTAGTCCATATTCTTTCTGAATCAGGTTCTGATATCGATTTGGATTTAAACTTCTTACCACAATCAGGATCAGAGTATGATCCTGACTCCGAGTATGAGTCTGAGCTCGGATCTGAATTCCAGTTGAGATTCCCATATTATAATCTGTTCCTCTTCTTTGCAATACTTTTAGCTAACAAACTATGAGCATAGTGCCTCTATCATTAGTGCTTCCTCCCGGTGCCCCTCCTCAGGACTTGGAAACCTGCTTACCCCTCAAGAACCTTCACAACATCCCTTACGGCATCTCCCCTCAGAGCCCACCGCCGATCTCATCACTGTATACTCAGCTTGGAGTCGGGAGGCCACCAGTTCAGAGTCAGGTACCAGCTCTATTACGGTTGCTGGAGATGAGTTGAATCCTCCGACTGGCAATAGATCTGTTCTGCGTACCAGTCAGGTTTCCTCCGAGGTTAGCGCACATATCCGTGCTCTTAGGCATATTGCTGGCTGGCCTTACCGAAGAATTGCTATTGCTGTTAGCCTACCTATCAGTACAGTCTATCGTACGGCACAGAAAGAACCTCCTACAGCTAGGCAAAGCAAAGTCCATGGTCGGCCTTGGATCCTGAACCCAGAAATTAGGAACAGGCTTTTGCAAATTGTTACTGCATCAGCTGAAAATCGCCGTAAACCTCTTATTAAAATTGCCTTGGTAGCTGGAGTTCAGGCCTGTGAGAAAACTCTTCGACGTTCACTTGTGCTTGATGGATATCATCGCCGAGTAGCAAGAAAGAAGCCATTTTTAAACTCTACCCACATACAAGTAAGTCTTCACAATAGTATGTTCTCACTTATTATGTTAGTCCTATATGTTAACTATTTAATTTAACTATTACAGAACTGCCGGCAGTGGGCAGAACGTTTTCAAGACTGGAGTACAGAAGACTGGAAGAAGGTTACCTGAACTGACGAGTCAGCATTCAATGTTGGTGGCTCCCCTGCATCAGCAAAAATTATTCCTGCGTCAGGTGCGCGCGCAGTGCGTCCTGACGCAAGTACGAAGAATTCTGTATCCTGTGCGTCCTGTGCGTCTGGGACTCGGGCGCCAGGCCTGGTTGCGTCCTGTGCGTCTGGTAGTTGGGTACCAAGTCAGGTTGTGTCCTAGTGCTTATGCTAGGAAGCGCCACATCCAGATTAAATCCTGAGTAAGCGATGCCGACTACCACCAGTAGTTACCATCCTGAGATTCCGAGTGATAAACACAGCTGCCAGCCGCTCCCCTTTAACCACCCCCCTACCACCTCCTCCCTACCAGGTCCCACCCTACCGGCTCCCCCCCTACCGGCTCCCCCCCTACCGGCTCCCCTGCATTCCGGACTTAGTTGTTTACTTTGCCTGCTTTGCCAAGTTAGCGAGCTTCTTGTTAATTGCTGACCTTGACGCGTGATTCCTCGGGTATCCTTCCGGCGCAGCATCCCATACTCAGTGGTCCGGTTCTACACGAGGCCAGCTTTCCAACGGTACCTTGGACGTCTATCCGGCACCAATATTGGTAGAGTTACGGCCTGTTATGAAAGTGGTTTTCACTCTAGCGGAGTTTTGGTGGAGTGCTAATTTTGACCCCAGATTGCCCGGGCGTTCTTTGGATGTAGCGTCTGTAACTGGGCGCCCTAATTCTACGCGACGCCAGCTTTCCAACGGTACCTTGGAC